CTCTCCGTGGGGCTGCCCTTGAAGACAGTCCGGATACTTCAAATGGTGCAAAACAGCAGCCAGGTTGCTGATGGGGACTGGGCGTTATTCTCACATAACAACAGTCCTCTACCAGCTTCACTGGCTCCCCATCGAAGTCCGGACACAATTCAAGGTGCTGGTTATCACCTACAAAGCCCTTATCAGCTTGGAACCTGGATACTTGAAGGCACACCTGCTTCCATATTTGCCCTCCCACCCCCTGGGATCGGCGGCAGAGGCCCTCCTCCGGGAACCCTCCGTGAAAGACATCAGGAGGCAAAGTACCCGGAGGAGGGCCTTCTCTACAGAGGCGCCCCATCTGTGGAATGTGCTCCCCAGAGAGGTCCTCCTGGCACCGTCGTGATTTGTTTTTCGGTGCCAGGCTAAGACCTTTTCATTCAAACAATATTTTAACAATGTTTAATATTTATAAGTTTTAATTGTGCAGCCAGGGTGTTTCCGGGTTTTAATTGTATTTGTATTGTATTTATTTATTTCTGTGAGCCGTCCCGGGGCTATATAGCAAGGGGACGGCATACAAAAACTTTAGATAGATAGATAGATAGATAGATAGATAGATAGATAGATAATAAATAAGACCAAGGATGAGACGGATGGAGTCCACCAAGGAAGTCCCAGCCCTGAGCTTGGAAGAACTGAGTGGGGCTGTCATGGACATTTTGGGGGTCTTTCCTTCACAAGGTCGCTGTAAGACAGAGATGACTTGATGGCACACCATCAAACAGATGTCTTCAAGGAGGGGGTGTCCCTCAACAGGTGACGGTGGCCATGAAGCCACCCATTGGGAGGTCCTCAACCCTGGTTCTTGTGGAACATGGGCGGGAGGGATGCCATGCTTGTGGGCTTCCCGCGGGGAGCTGCATGGCCTCTGTGGGAACGCGAAGCTGCCTTGGGTCAAAGGCTGAATCCAGCACCTTTGCAGGGGAACCTCAAGAAGATGTGGGATTTGATTCTGTCTCCAGCAGGAGGCAGCTGAAGCTTTGAGATGCCACCACTGGAATGCGGTGGGGGTGTCTTTGCTAGTGCAGCAAGCCAGTCTGAAACTGGGGGGTGCAGATACCAGAGGGACCAGGGGCCCCTGGGTAGGCACCACGGGAGGGGAGAAAGGCCACGCCGGAACGAGACACCTTGTGGGTGTCTTCCTAGCCCTCAAAAACTCACAGCCATCAAGCAACAGTTTCTGTGGTTCTGCTCTTCAGGTTCTTAATTTAAAACCGGATATGCCCTTCAAACAGAGGATTGTCCTCTGCAAAGGGAACGGGGCCACCTTAGCAGCTGTCCAGGTGAGGGTCATTCCAGCACTGGCTACAAACTGGAGACATCAGCCATTTCCCCCTGTGAATTCACAGGCATTAAGCCAAAACTTCTCAATCAGGGGTGCCGAACTTGATGTCTGGGGCCAAAGCTTGCGTCCCCAGATGACCTTGCGTCCTTCCTTCTGGCCCACTCCCTTTCCCGCAGCTGCTGAAGCTTTTTGGCTCCTGGCAGAAATGTCTTTCAGCTAAAATAAGCCAGTATTTTGGCCTTGCCCTTTTTCTTTGGCCCCAAACACCACTGGGATGCCGTCCCCAGAAGCTTCTCTGAAATGGGATTTGGCGCTTGGGCCAAAAGGGGTTCAACACCCCAACTCTGGGTGCGGAGAAATGGAAGCATATCACACCAATTCCATACAAATCAGATTGGCTGTCTAAATCAGTCGAAAGCACTGGACTTGGGCTCCTAATTCCTAGACAGTTTGGGGCTTGGAGGCCCACTACCCACATGAGGCTGCCCAAGACTTAAGCTTAGCACTGAAACCTTTGTCTCTGGGCCATGAGGCCTTGTGAGATTGTCAGGTACCAGTTGGGGCCCCTTTGGTAGCGGCCCCACACCCTTGGAACTCTACTCTGACAGAATACTGATGTCCTCATTCTTGCAGATTTTCCTGAAAACCTTTTCATTTCAGTCTGCACTGGCAACTTTTAATACCTGGTGTTTTAAAGGCATTTTATTTAAAGCTAAAATTTAAATGTCATCGGTTCTGTACGCGAGCCAGGGCTGATTCTGTGGATGGGCGTATTAGTTTTACATCCTCGGACTCCTCTCTCAACAAACCAACGAGAACAAGCCAGAGCAAAGGACGTCAGATATATGAAATCTAAAACGCATGCTACCACGACCCACAAAACAGCTAAAACTCCCACAGCGGCCAGAGATGTTGAACCTTCTTCAAGCCACCTCCAGAGATGTGCCCCGAAAGACGCCTTCAAAATCTCTCCGATACTTCACAAATTTTCTCCTTCGGTCCGTTAGCTCCATTCTCTTGGGGCAGGCACCCAAGGCTCATTCGTAACCCTCATTTCAGGAATATTTGGGGTCACAGAACATTATTTCAGTTCATGCGACAGAACAAGGCAATCTTCAGAGAATGCAAATTCTCCCCAAACCTGCCAGTACCTCTGCCCTATGGAAGACTTTGCCAGTGTTTCTAAGAGCAAGACACTGCAGCTGAACCAAGCTCACTTGAAACTAAAGGGGGAACTTTAGGTTTATTTTCAGCTTTAAGGGGTGCAGTTCAAGGTACTGAAAAGTTCTGGGACTCGGACCCCTGCAGCAAATGCATCCCCCACGTTGCCCTTGCTAGCTTTCATGTGCTTTAACAGCTCTGGGTGCGTGTCTTTAACAGACGGTTTGCTAAGACGCCTCTATTTGGAAAAGGGGGTGGATGAATGCAGGAAAGGAGAGCACTGAATTGCAGGAGGGAAATATTTGGGGACCCCAGAAGGTGAAGTACACCTGAGCCAAAAGGAGGCTAACCCAGGGGGATCCAAAGCGACAGTGCTCACCCAGGCCTGGACTGCCCTCCCAGCTCGTGTGGTTTGGGGGGCAGATGGCTGCCAATGAAAAACTTGGGGCCCAAGCCCATCCTGCGGTTTTTAGGATCCTCCATTAATAGGGCTTTCCAGACTGAGGATGTACCATTCCTGAAAGCCAACCAGCTACGTGGCCTATGGTGGCAGGTAGGGATGACCAGGCCCTAAACAGTACGGAACCGATCCTATTCCATTAATTTCCCCGACCAGCAAACTCGGAAGCAACTCCATTTCGTGGTCAAGCATATTTACTGCCACAACTGCCCAAATCCTCCACATCTGGGCCACAGTCTTATTCTGATCCTCAGCAAGAGGACTGTGTTTGTAATGCCAGCTGGCACATGCCCTTAGACATAGCATTTGGGGAGGTCTGTCTCCTTGCCCCCCCCACTATGGGATGTGCCGCACGTGGGCAGCACAGGGCAGGGCCTTCTCCGTAGTGGCACCCAGGGTTTGGGACACTGTCTCCAAGTAGCTGTGCCTGGTGCCCGTTCCGCTACCATCGGGGGGACTAACCTCCATTTGCTGCTGCAATGAAGAGCAATAGACCCACACTCCGAATCCCTCCCCCCCCCACCACTGATAATCCCCTGGCTTTTTGGCTTTATTCCAGGTTTGGGCCCTGCATTTGAGGCTGGCAGCCTTTGCTATTGCTGTTAGGATGGTCGTGCGAAGTGGGATAAATCAGATCTGTGCAGGCCCCTCTGCACTGCCTTTCCGGAGAAAAACCGTAGGGGACACAGTCCGTTTCTGCTCACCGACAGCGGCCAAAACTTTCTGCTCTTTTCTGCACCCCCGTCAGGCGTGCGCAGACCTCTTGCGTCTACCTAGAGGTGTTCCAGATCCTGACCCGAAAGACACCCGAAAGAATCTTTCAAGGTTTCATCAAGATGTCTTGGTGCACATCGTTGGACCAGCAAACCCAATCTGTCTCAGACCCCTTAAATTTAGCACCCAAGGAGCAAGGGAGCCCCCGATCAGCGGTACATGGCCCGATACCCTCCAGTAGATTACAGAACCCATCTATCCGAGCCAGTGTGGACAATCCCCAGGGATTAGGGGATCTTTGGTGCGAAAGAGAAACCCGGGGACCAGCAGCTTCCCTGTGCCTGCCCCAGACCTTCCATACAGTAACACAAAAACCAGAAGAATTTTTCAAGCCTGCCAGCCACTTAAGAGCTTACCTAAAACCCACAGCAAGCGCCACACCATTACTTTCAAATATTCTCTCACACACGGAGGGATGAGGAGCCCTCATGCCATTGAGGGCCACTGCCCAGCATTTCCAAGGTCTGTTCTAGCCTTACGTGAGCGCTGCCAATTTGATTGCAAACAGGACTAGAACCTCGCTGCTGCCCAGAGAGGAAAAGAGACAGGCTGGTTCCCAGCAACGGTCCAGCTGAATTCTAGTCCTGAGTCCAGCTAAATCTGGGATTTCCTGAGCCTGGCCCACAGAGAAAGTCTCACAGGGCAGAAGGCACAGGAAGCAGCCTTCCCAGCTTCCGCAACTTGGGGGTCCTTCGTCCCCCAGATCTGCCCCTCAGGGGCAGGCTTCTTCTAGAGATGGGGGTATCGTTCGACCCTCAGAGCCAACCCTCAGGGATAAAACGGTCTGATTCACACTGCATCTTGCTCTAAATCTCTCCACTATCGTCTTGCCCTGTGATGTCACACCAGCACATCCGTTGATCGGTATCATAATGCAAAGCAAACGGTGGGTCAGGATGAGTCCCTTTGAAGTTTGCTTCTGCCACACACACCCAGGGAGCTGTTCTCCCAACACACACAGACACACTCCTTTCCCAACTGCCATACAGAGGCGAGAAAACGGCCTACCTTACAAGGTTGTTGTAAGGATGAAAGCAATGCCTGGGACAAGCCTTTTCAGCACTCGGAAGTGCTGAGTCTTACGGCCGTGACAGGTGCAAAGGGCCCCCTGGCCATGGAGCTGGCTGGAAACACCCTATTTACAAAGTGCCTCGTTTCCTCCGGTCGCCAAAGCGAACAGCGAGGCACCATGCTCGCCATCGGCGAGCGCCTTTCGCACGACCCTGTCCCCCCCTCGCACACCCCCCAGAAATGCATTCCATGCGACGCACGACTTACCTTCCACAATTGCAGTGGCAAACCCTGTCTTCCCCTCTCAGATGCGGTAAGATATAATTGTGAAAGCGATCCAGAAGTGCATTCATATCCATTAAGCATGCAATTGCCTGTAAGAGGTCATAAGGCACCAGGTGAGGTTTGCAGGAGCCGGGAAAGACACCTGGGGTTGCTTTGCACACAACAATACAGCCCCCCCCCATTCCTCGGTTTCCCAATCGCTATGGGCACAAGCAGACATGCTGGGATCCAGCTGAAAGGCTATGCTCCACGCATCCACGCATCGCCACGACCAAATCTCAGCCAGACCAAAGAGGCACGAATTTGGGGAGGGGGAGAGGGGGGTGGGGGGAACGCGAAAGGGTGGTCAAGAAAAAGAAAGCTTTCTTACCATAACAATAGAGGCTCCCAAGATCATAAATATCATTGTGTTAGCATTCATGGACATCAACTGGAAACTGACAACAGCCCTGTCACCTCCCCCAAGCCCACCCCCCACCCCCTTGCCCAAAATGAAGAAAAGGAGGAAAGGCTGCCAGGATTTTCTGCAGAGGTCAGAAATGGTCCCACACAAGGTCTTCCAGCCAAACTGCAGTCCCGAAGGGGGGAAGGCTCTGCCTCCCCCCCACTTTCCAAGCATACACAAATGCACAGTCCTGTGTTTCTCCCCCCCACCCCCCCAGCTGATTCTTCCGGCTTCTTCTTTGCTTCTTTCTCTGGATTTGTTGGTTTGGTTTGGTTTGGTTTGTTTTTCTGGGTTGCTCGAGAGAGAGAGGAGAGAGAGAGCGATTTTCCGGGGGCAGTGCAAGCGATCTTGAACCCCTAAACCGGAAAGGTCGACAGCATCACCGCTCTGCACTGCCCACGGAACACTCCACCGGGGAGAAATGGGTCCAGTCCCAAAAAACAAACAAACGCGAAAAAAATGAATTTACACACAGGAAGCCAACAAGGAGCGCGGAGGAGGGCGAAAGGATGGAAGAAAATGCCATCTTTCGACGCACTGAAACGACTTGGACGTTTCCTGGTTGTCCCTCTTTCTCCCAGGGAAAAAAACGAGATCCATCCCTTTGGAAATGGGGAAGCGATTGGTGCAAAGGAGAAGGGGGGGGGAGATGACTCCCCCTCCCTTTCTGCTTTTTCTTAGCAGAGGAAAAAATGGAAGACCTGGGCTGACAAGATGAGGTGGGCATAGACTGGCGTCATGTCGGAATCTATTTAAAAAGATAGTCGCTTTCTCTTCTTCGTTTGCTACGAAGGAGACGAGCGCGGGGGCAGCGCCAGATTCTGCTTTGCTGCTCGCCCAGCCATTACCGTAGCGGGCGCCTTTCAGAGGAAGAAAAAGGGGGAGGGGGGGGAGAACCCAAAACGTGACCTGAGGATGGATTTTGGCTAGCTGCACACACACGCACACACACACACACAGAGAGAGACACATACGCAAAGCCGCGGACCTCCCCTCTTGGCTTTGCTGACATTGAAACTGGAATGATGCTTCTGTACATGCAAAGTGCTTTGGAAAGGGGTGGGTGGGGGGCGAGGGGGCAGATGCCCCCCGATCCTGGCAAAGTCCCTTTCAAGTAGCAGCACGAACGGTCTCCCCCCACCCTTTCTCCAAAGAAGGCATAAAATCACATTTTTAAAAGCGAGCCTCTCCCTCCCTGCCGCCCCCCCCCGCGCGATGCAGCCCCGCCCAGCCCAGAGAATTTAAGATGTGGGACGGAAGGGCGGTGGGACCCACCCCATAGCGTCGGAGGGAGGGTGGGCTTGGCTCTGGCCGACTGCCTGCCAAGAGATGGGCCGACCTTCCTCTCTCCCCCTCGCAGCCCGCTCTGGTGTTACCTATTTGAGGTGGCGGCGGTGCTCCATCTTAAAGTCTCGCTGCTCAGGGGGAGGGCAGGATTGGAGAGAAGAGCAGTGCGGATCTTGTCTGTTTACTAACCTGCCTCCTCCCCCCCCCCCGCTTTCAGTCCCTCTCCCCAAAAGCTGCTCGATTCTCCCTCTCGCTCGCCCTGCCTTTAGCCAAAATGGTGCTTGGCCGCATCCCGCGCCCGGCTGGCTTCTCCGCTACCCTGGTGCCTGCGAACACCAAAATCCATCTTGCCTGGGAGGTCTCTGGCGAGGAGGCTGGGGCGCGCGGTACCCCCAACACACACACTCACACACGCGCGCACGCACACGCACAGCGCCCCTCCAGCACACGGGGAAGGGCTGCCCCCCCGCCCGCCCGCCCGCCCGCCCGCCCGCCCGCTCCCCGGAACGAGCGGCGCAACTCCGCGGCGGGCAGGGCTGCGGGGCGGGATGTCCCGGCCGCCGCTCGCTCGTGTGCTTTGGGGAGGGTCTCGGGGGGGGCAGGGGGGGCCCGCTTCGCCCCCCCCGCCCGCGTCCCGCGGCCAGCAGCACGGCTCCGGAGAGCCCCACGGTGCGGAGCGCAGCGCAGCGCAGCGCAGCGCAGCGCCGCTGCCCCCTGGCTCCCCACGGGGCGCCATCCTGCCAAGTTTGGCCGGAGGCGGCTCGGGGCGCGGGGGGGCTCCCGGCCGCCCTCTGCCGGTGGCCGCGGGGAGCGCCGCGCAGAGCCGCTCCGGCCCCGGGTTCGGGTTCGGGTTCGGGTTCTGGTTCGGGCCCGGCCCTGCCCGGGCAGCAGGGCGTCCTGGACCGCCCCAAGCTCGCCTGTGCGTGCGCGCGTATGTGTGTGTGGGGGGGGGGGGGGGGGGGGGGGGGGGATGGAGGAGGGGGAAGAGGAAGAAAGGGGGAGAATGGAGGTGGAAAGGGGGCAAAAGACAGGAAGAAGGAAAGGAGAAGGAAAGGTATCAGGAAGAGAAAAGAAGGGAAATAGAAGGGCAGGAAGAGAAAGAGGGAGAGACCGCTGGGAGCAGAGAGAGAGAGATGGCTGAAAGAGGAGGAGGAGGGAAAGTCTGAAAAAGAGAAAGGGGGTGGTCCTGCCCACTCTTGCTTCCTGGCACAGCTTCCCTGACCGTGGCCCCCAGAGAAGGTGCCCCCCAACTGAGGTATCACCCATCCTGCCCCACGTCTGCCTGCACAGCAGCCAAGCGGTTGCCCGAGCATAAGGAAGACTGAGTGCAAAAGCATCCTCTGCCCATGTTCCCCAGCAGCGAGCACACATGGGCCTGGTGGGTCCTCCAGCCATCAGGACTCGGAGCCACGGAGAAGCCATCCACCCATGAATTAGCCAAAGTCCAACTGAGATGGCCCGATTTGTCAAATCCACCGGGGAAGCCATCTAGGTGCTTGTCCCCCGGCCAGTGACGCCCGGACAAGACGGCGCTTCCTTCTGCCACAGGCACAAATGCCCCTTCAAGGCCAGACCACACAGCAGCACCAGCCCCGGAAGGCAGCAGACTCACTGGGGAAGTCCATGCGCCGAGTATTTCTAACACCCACTTAGCTCCCCCTTTCCTCAGTCACCTCAGGCATCAAAACAGAGCCGCCAGGCTGCTGACGGGGACCGGGCGTTATGCTCACATGACTCCAGTCCTCCGTCAGCTTCACTGGCTTCCCATTGAAGTCCGGGCCCAATTCAAGGTGTTGGTGATGACCTATAAAGCCCTAAACGGCTTGGGTCCTGGCTACCTGAAGGAGCGCTTGCATCCATTTACGCCCACCCGCCCCCTGAGATCTGCGGGAGGGGCCCTTCTCCGGGAACCCTCCGTGAAGGAAATTAGGAGGATAGGTACTCGGAGGAGGGCTTTCTCTGCGGTGGCGCCCCACCTATGGAATGCGCTCCCCAGAGAGGTCCGCCTGGCGCCGTCGTTATTTGTTTTTCGGCGCCTGGCGAAGACCTTTTTATTCAAACGTCATTTTAACTGTTAATACTATTTATTCGTTTTATTCTTCGGCCAGGGTGACTTATTTTATATTGTTTTATAGGATTCTAGTTATTTATGGTTGTGAGCTGCCCCGAGACTTCGGCGAATGGGGTGGCATAGAAGTTCCCTAAATAAATAAATAAATAAATAAAATTGTATTGACTATTTCTTAGTTATATTTATCTCCCACTCTTTTTCCTGCAAGCCACCCAAGAACATTTATCTAACTCAGGGGAAGCTGCTAACTCCTCTGTCAGCAGGGCTCCTTACCCACTGCAGCTTTTAGTTTGAGCTTTAAAGGAAGCATCAGCTAATAGTACAGAAGGGTAAGAAACAGACATAGCCACAGAGAAGGGGAGTGTGGGTTCCATTTGCTCATCTATTTTCTCCATCCATATTTCATTTCTAGATTCAATCAATTACATCTCGCCTTTGGCAAAGGTGGTTTCGTTTCTTCCCAAGAATCCTTGAATTTGAAGTGACGTGCCTTGGCCAGACCAGGCCGCTGGGGTTAAAGCTCCCTCTCAAATGATTTGTGCTCTAATCTGAGGACAGTATCTAATTTTAATTATGCATGTACAGTCTTGGCTCTTTTGTGATGCCCCAGACCTGGCAACAGATGGGATCGCCTGCCAACTACCTGAAAGAGATCGCCGAAATGAATTCGGAAGACAATTAAACTCTGTTTGGCAGAAAGTTGAGAAATACACGCACTCTTTGCCATTGTCTGTAATCAGCCTCAGATGTACAGCAGTCCCGGAAGAAAGAGTTCTCCGGGGGCAAAAATGTAAGCACATGTACACAAAGCGCTTTGACTGTAATTTGCTTAGTAGGGTCAACACCCAGAAGTCTCCCAGAAACGTATCTGGTTCATCTCCCGAGAGCCCTACCAAATGTTCATCAAACACAGAACTCTGCGCATGTTTACTCAGGACTGAGCCCTAGGGAAGTTTCTTTGGCCAGGTAGGCATGTCTAGGAGGGCCGATGACCCTGTGGCATGATTATTTTGTTTTGTTTGTTTATTTATATTTATTTAAAACTTTTGTACTCCGTCCCATCACGGACATCTTGGGACGGTTCACAACTGGTTTTTCGGCACCAGGTAAAGACCTTTTTATTTAAACATCATTTTAATTGTTAAAATATATGATCTGGCCAGGGCAACTTCTTCTTCCTTCTCTTTTCTCCTCCTATATTCTTTATTTACTTATTTTATACTGTTAATTTTAATGTTATATTATTGTATCTCAGTGTATTTTTTGTATTTAGTGGTAATTTATTATGTTCTATTGTATTTCAGTGTATCTTATTGTGTTGTAAGCCGCCCCGAGGCTTCGGCAAGGGGCGGCATAGAAATGTAATAATAATAGTAATAATAATAATAATAATAATAATAATAATAATAATGATAATAATAATAATAATATAAAATAAAAAATAAAAGTAAGTATTTGGTAGTAACTGTGGCTTGCTCCCTGTGCATCATTTTCTGCTTGTTTGTTCAAAGTCGCTCAGACTTTTAGTTCCTAGAGAAAATTATTTTCAAAAGTCTGAGAGAAAACGTTTGTGTGAGAGAGAACGTGAAAGATTTTCTGGTGTTCAGCACGCTGCAGCCTTCAAATAATTAAAAGGCTGTTGTACAGGGAGCAGAACAAACTTTATGCTATTTTGAATTGATTTTTAACTTTTTTAAACCTTGCTTTATGTATTGGGTTTTATGGTTTTTATACCGGGTTGTCCACTGCCCAGCCTGCTTCAGCTACAGGGCAGCACGGAAATGAAAGGAATTAATTAAGAACAGCAACGACAGCT